GAGTAGACCCCAGCACTGGGCGTCTGTGGAGCCAGTGTCCCTGAGACCCCCCGGCCGCCGCACCACCGCGGCCCTGGCTCCACCAATAAAGCTGGAATGATTGCATGAGGGGTGTGCGTGTCCCTGGTGTCCCTGTGCGCCGGCTGCGTGTCCCCTGGTGTCGTGTCCCATGGGTGGGCGTCCGTGCCTGCTGCGGGGGGGGTGTCCCACGGGTGCGTATGTCCAGGACCAGCACGCGTCTCCGGGGATGGAGATCATAGAATCATAGAATCATAGAATCATTAAAGGTTGGAAGAGACCTCCAAGATCATCGAGTCCAACCGTCAACCCAACAACACCATACCCACTAAACCATGTCCCTAAGCGCCTCATCTACCCGTCTTTTAAATACTTCCAGGGATGGTGACTCAACCACTTCCCTGGGCAGCCTGTTCCAATGTTTAACTACTCTTTCAGTAAAGAAATTTTTCCTTACATCCAATCTAAACCTCCCCTGGCGCAACTTGAGGCCATTTCCTCTCGTCCTTTCGCCAGTTACTTGGGAGAAGAGACCGACACCCACCTCGCTACAACCTCCTTTCAGGTAGTTGTAGAGAGCAATGAGGTCTCCCCTCAGCCTCCTTTTCTCCAGGCTAAACAACCCCAGCTCCCTCAGCCGCTCCTCATAAGGCTTGTTCTCCAGACCCCTCACCAGCCTCGTTGCCCTTCTCTGGACACGTTCCAACATCTCAACATCCTTCTTGTAGTGAGGGGCCCAAAACTGAACACAGTATTCGAGGTGCGGCCGCACCAGTGCTGAGTACAGGGGCACTATCACTTCCCTGCTCCTGCTGGCCACACTATTTCTGATACAGGCCAGGATGCCGTTGGCCTTCTTGGCCGCCTGGGCACACTGTCGGCTCATGTTCAGCCGGCTGTCGACCAACACCCCCAGGTCCTTTTCCGCCAGGCAGCTTTCCAGCCACTCTTCCCCAAGCCTGTAGCGCTGCATGGGGTTGTTGTGGCCAAAGTGCAGGACCCGGCACTTGGCCTTGTTGAAGCTCATACAGTTGGCCTGGGCCCATCGATCCAGCCTGTCCAGGTCCCTCTGCAGAGCCTTCCTACCCTCGAGCAGATCAACACTGCCGCCCAACTTGGTGTCGTCTGCAAACTTACTGAGGGTGCACTCGATCCCCTCATCCAGATCATTGATAAAGATATTAAACAGAACTGGCCCCAATACTGAGCCCTGGGGAACACCGCTCGTGACCGGCCGCCAACTGGATTGAACTCCATTTACCACAACTCTCTGGGCCCGGCCGTCCAGCCAGTTTTTGACCCAGCGCAGAGTACACCTGTCTAAGCCGTGAGCCGCCAGCTTCTCCAGGAGAATGCTGTGGGAGATGGTATCAAAGGCCTTACTGAAGTCCAGGTAGACCACATCCACAGCCTTTCCCTCAAACTAAATTCTACCCATTGATTCTTCCCTAGTCAACTTCTTGGCTACATATTTTTCTGTGCTACACTACCAAGATTTTCCTTGAGGATACCTACCAGGGGATGGTAGAGTTTTCCAGGTGCTTCCTGAATAGATGGATTATTGCAGTTGTAACAGCCTGTTTAACAATTATCTTCTCAGGAACAATATGAAAATGTGAGATATGAATTGGACAAGGATTTAACTAGGTCTTTACTATGGCACATAGCAGTCTGACTGCTCTCTAGAATATCACAGGTCCAGAAAATAGTCTGTTAAATATAAAAGTGATTGTTCATCTGTAACTCAGTTACCCTGTGTTTCCAGACTGCAGCTAATGAAGTTCCAGGATACAATTCCTGATCTGATGACAGGAATAGGGATGAAATATTTACATGGAAAGAGGTTTTGGTTTGGAAATATCAAATATATCTTGGCTATCCTTTGATCTGCCTTCTGAGAATAAAATTATATGCAAGTTAATTAGTACTTATATTGTTAATACTTCTGTAGCAGTGAGCAGCTATTTCCATATCATGGTCATACTGTTGAGAGCAGCACTGTGGAGAAGGACTTGGGGGTACTGGTGGATGAAAAGCTGGACATCAGCCAGCAATGTGCGCTCGCAGCCCAGAAGGCCAATCGTATCCTGGGCTGCATCCAAAGAAGCGTGGCCAGCAGGTCGAGGGAAGTGATTCTGCCCCTCTGCTCTGGTGAGACCCAACCTCGAGTGCTGTGTCCAGCTCTGGAGCCCTCAGCACAGGAACCTGGACCTGTTGGAGCGGATCCAGAGGAGGGCCGCGAAGATGATCAGAAAGATGGAACACCTCTCCTGTGAAGAAAGGCTGAGAGAGTTGGGGTTGTTCAGCCTGGAGAAGAGAAGGCTTCGGGGAGACCTTCTTGCAGCCTTTCAATACTTAAAGGAGGCTTATAGGAAAGATGGAGATAGACATTTTAGCAGGGCCTGTTGCGAGAGGACAAGGGAGAATGGATTTAAACTAAAAGGGGGTAGATTTAGACTAGATATAAGGAAGAAATTTTTTACGCTGAGGGTGGTGAAACACTGGCACAGGTTGCCCAGAGAGGTGGTGGACACCCCATCCCTGGAAACATTCAAGGTCAGGTTGGACGGGGCTCTGAGCAACCTGATCTAGTTGAAGATGTCCCTGCCCACGGCAGGGGGGTTGGACTAGATGAGCTTTAGAGGTCCCTTCCAACCCAAACTATTCTAGGATTCTATGATTATCAGCAAAAGCATAATGACAATACTCACTGCTCCATCTTCCTTACAATTCATTGTCCAATTAGCACAAAGTTTATTCATTTACTTACATGTGGGAGGCTAGCATTTGTTCCTAAAATGGGGGAAATATGACATAAAAACAAAGTTTCTTCTACCAGTGTGAGCAGAAGGGGCCAGATTCTTATCACATAAGGGTTTTTTACACTGTTCTGGCAGCTGGGATTGTCACAATCTCAGGAGATTAAAGTACACTTCTGCAATGTGTATACTAACATAAAGGCTGTTTACACTGCCAGAAAACTTCAAGCATAACTGGGCATCAAGTCAGATATTTATTATACTGGGTTAGGAAAGTTTACATCTATTCCCATGAAGAGCCCATTGTCTTATTATTTAGTCATAAACAAAATGCTCTTTTGAGATGCTAATCCATGAAGTTTGCAGAGTTAGGTAAGTAACCATGGATACAGGATGCTTTGAAGACTTCAAGGAATTGGGAACACGCTGTTAAATGTGTCTCGGTGGTGTTAGTCACTGATAATTAGTTCTGCCTTTTCTTTGCTGACTTTTGAGAGAAGGGATCTTGGTAATTAGTTATGTGCAATGTATGTCGTTAATATGATGAGACTAAGACTCTTGATAATTTTTAGGAAAGATGGATCAAAAGAGCCAATAGTGGAAATGAGAACAGAGGATGAAAGAATTACCAGTCATGAAGATGGGAGTCCAGTAAATGAGCCAAATGAGACAACTCCCCTCACAGAACCGGAGTAAGTAGCCTGACATTCCCCAGAGTTTCACACAAGCTCCTCCTGGCTGTGAGGACAGACTGGGCTTCCCGCGCTCTGAGAGGGAGATACAGAGCATCACCAGAATTGTGTGCTGTGGCAACGCAGTGTATAAGTGTGATTTATTTATTTATTTATTACAATAATTGATCCAATGGTACCCCACATACAACAGCTGAGGTTATCACTAGACATTTTTCTCTTCTTTCTGTGACCCAGAGTACAACCACATCTGGGTGTTATCCAGCCCTAGGATGGCAACACCATGATAGTGCCAATCCTGCAGCATATCTTTACACCACCACCTGTTTGGAGGTTAGCAAGTATCCAGGGAAATTTTTTGGCCCTCCCTGCTGCCCTGGCTCCCGAGGAGCTTCTCCTGTGCTCTTGGTGAAAACAGACTTTGTGTCAGGGCCGGGGGGCCTGCCCTGCCCTGGCCTGCCCTGGCCCTGCCTAGGGACCAGGAGCCCCACATCAGCTTCAGGCTTGTCAGCAGCCTGTGCTCAGCCTTGGCCCCGGTGGGACACAGACCGACCCCCTGCTGCTGCCCCCAGCTCTGCCCGCTGCATTCAGGGGCTGGAGGGTGAGGGCAAGGCTCTGCCTGCGCTCTGTGGCTCTCAGGCTGCACCTGAGCTTGCCCCTGATGCTCCCCTGCTGCTCGCGGCTAACCTCCAAACCCCATGGAGAACCACGGCCAGCAGAGGCAGGTCACAGCCCTTCCACCTTCTCTCCCAGCCCTGGCACCCGCAGACACCTCACCCCCCCAGCCCTCCTGACCCTGCAGTGGTGGCTGAGCAGGAGTACAAGGATTTTTTAAGTCGGGTGCAACTGATCTTTACCACCTACACAGCATTTATTAACCACTCTGCAGGAATAATCTCCTGACTCTCAGGAATGGCCTTAGTCACACACACATCCCCACACACACCCTGTATGTAGGGCACAATGATCCCATGCTCCAGAAATCCAGCTCCTCACAGGGTGGTCCGTTCCTGCTTTCATTCACAAAACTGAGAGCTTAGCTCAGTATTTAAGTCCACGTGGTATAATTGGATTAATAGCACTGAAGGGCAGCCACTTTGCTCCGTTCCCTCATGCCCCCTTCCTGTCCCTGTAAGCTGCTCTCAGCACAGAAACTGTAGTGGTTCTCGCCCAGGCTTGCAGGCTCCGGCTGCTTCCTGAGTCACGGGGACCAGCCTTGGGCTCAGGGATCCCGGGCACTGGCAGTCAGGTCTTCTCCTCCATTTTGCTGCTGCAGCCCCTAGAACAGTTTAAACTGGGTAGAGTACGTGGTGTTTGTACCTGAATAGCACTTTTCAATACCTGTGTGGAGGATAAGGTAACATTTGTGATAGGGCACAAGCAAGCTCATATTTTGCTAAGCTTATTATTACAATGAGAGCTTCTGATGTTTTTTTTTTTTCTTCTGAAAATTTAGTTTGAAGAGAAACTAATATTTCAACAAAGGTGATGACGGTACCATTCCTTCTATTGAGAGCCCACCTAGTGGTGTTAAAGGACATGAACTGATTGCTCAAGAGTTTCATTTCTGAGCCTCAAAAGTTGATTGATTTGAAATTACTAAAGAAAGCTCCAAGTTTCTTTGGTTTGAGCCCAAAGCTTTTCATGTGTGAAAATCTCCTACCTCATGAGATCTTAAAGCTGTCAGGGCTACGAAGACAATTCTGTAGTAAATATAGAAACTCACCTGTTGGTTATCTGATGGAATCACAGTTGTTTTTTAAAAGGAGAGGATGTTCTTATAAAACAGTCTTTTTATCTTTCTGAAAATTGCCTTCCTTGCCATTATCTAGAACTGCAAAAGCCAGAACCTTTAATAAGAAAAAAGCCTGTGTTATTGTCTGTCTTTGGCATTTGTAGTAAATGGGGTGTGTGTTAAGTAACTATACATTAAGCTATATACTTCTTTAAAGAACCTGTACCTGAAGACTTCAAACTTGTGGTAAATAAATAATTATGGAATTTGTTGAATGACTAGTGATATGTTTGCTCTTCATATTAGGCTTTATAATGAGGGGCACTGTAGAGAACCCACAGTTATCTAAGGAGTCAGGGGAACGTAGTTGTAAACATTGTACAAGTCCAGTGGGCCTTGGATATGTTAGTGGGTGAGGCACCAGAGCCACATTTTTTCATGCTTCAAGACTATTTGTAGCACCAGATCTTGCAAATACAAATGAGATGCACCTAGCAAGGGACTTGATACCAGGAAAGGTTAAGTTCTTCCTGCTTGTCCCAGTCATTAGAACAGCTGACAGGAGTGAAATATGAGAAAGTTAAAATAAAAAAAAGTTTTATTATCTTAGAGAAGGGGGAAAGAATCAGTCACTGGTGGCATGAAAAAATAACTAAATCATAGGAACAACTGATAAGGAGTTTGATGGGTATTATGTCCTTGGGAGAATAGGACTGCTAAGAGATATTAATAATGATGACAGTTTCCTTCTCGGTAATTTCTTCTCCCACAACCAATGGCAAAAGGTAGCAGTCCAAGGTACAGCTGGACAGAGGTCAGCTAAAGATTTGGCGCAGTGTCGCTTAGGAAACCAAAGATGAATAGAGCATCATGCAATCAGGACATGTGAAGGGACACTGGTGCTAAGGGAACATGGAAAGACCTTCTGCTCAGACACAGGTCATAACTGATGAAACAGAGAAGCAATATAAAGTATGGGTGGGATGCCACTAAAGGAAAGAAGGACGCAATAGGGTAGAAGTAAGTCTCTCAGTAGGAATAACACAAAAATGCATTGTCAACAACAGGTGCTATCAGCCATAAAGGCCCATGCTGGGCAGGGCGAGGATGACCAACAGGGATCTTGGAGGGAAGAGCTTAGCTTGCAGGAAGGAAAAGTTTCAAGGACATTCCAGGCAGGCAATGTTCATACAAGGTTGGATTCATTCTGACTAATTGTGGCTGTCTTCAATGTATACGAGATAAGTCTTCAGTTTAAATTAGATGAAATATTTGAATAATTAGCTGAATTATTTTGAATAATACCAAATTATACTCAGAACTTTAAATGCAATTTATGCATTTGTGGGAAATAATTAATAAAGAGGTGACTTCCTCTTACAATAATAGAGTATTTTCATTATATTGCTCAACATATTATTCGGCAGTCTATGTTTTACCTTATCTCAGATGATTCTTGTCAAAGCCGGGTTTGGGATCCATGTGTGACAGATGAGCACAGAGCACTTTTACCTGCAAGTCAACAAGTTTTAATAATGCTGGCAGGAAATCAATTTAAGCTGTGCATTTCATATTACATTTCTGTAATATGATTAAAATACCACACGCAATGTGGTACTATAATTACATCCCTAGTCTGACATTATTGTGTTTCGAGTATTGGTTGAGTTTTTCTTAGTATTAATGAAGCTGGGTGAATTCCCGTATCAAAATGGCTAGCAGCCATTTTCCTATAAAACAGGAAAGTAAATATTCTAGTTAAAGTTTTGTATGGGTAATATCAGCAGACTATTGCAGTTAGGCCACACGCAGTGCTAGAGGAAGTCAATATTATTAATGATTGATAACAGACAGCATCTGCTTAAAGCAAAAGAACCTTTTAAAGTTCTCTAGTGTTTTGGGTTTTTTTCTAAAAAGCTTTTATTATAAAATGCTTTAAGATTTGAAAGGATTAGTCTGTCCAGCTGAAAAATATAAAATTATTTTAAATAGATGTAGCTAAAGAAAAAATAGGTGTAGGAAAATTGGTGTAATTAGAACATTTAAACTTGATTTAGTTAATTAAAAGAGGAAAATTATTGAATCTGTTAATAAAGATTAAATATTAATTAATATTTGAAACAAATGGAGAGGAAAATTCCAAAATAACAAAGATGTTTTCATAGTCAAAGAGGATACTGTCTAACAATAACTGAACTGATAACTTCACATCATATATAAAAAAAAAAAAACCCACAAATTTTAAAGACAATAAGGGCAAAGAATTGTGGATGGACTTTTTGATGAGGAAAACCTGTAAAACATTTTATTTGTTTGTAGTTCTTTTTTTTTCCTTGCTTGCATTGAAAACAAGGCTAATTTTATCACATTGTTTGCATGAACATGGATTTCAGTAATATCTAGTATCTTTCAACAGGGTTCTAGCAAATCTTCCTATTTCAAATAATTTGAAATTATTTGTAACATGCTCTTAATCCACTTCTTCAAAACCAATTTATTTAAATTTCCACACAGTAAATTCTGTAAATTGCCCAGTTTTTACTTTGACTAAATATTTCCTCCCTTTTAGCACCATCTTTTGAGAAATTACTCTGCCTTTATATAAAACTAGACTAAATTAGGTCTTTCTTTTAATACTATTTAAGTGCTTTGCATTTAACACAGGTGCCTGCATACCTAAAATGCATCTCATGAGCTGCGCTTCCTCTGCCCCAGTGTTTTATCTTGTTTTAAAAATAGATTTGTGTTGATTCCGCTGTTTCCATTCTTTCAGGCATCGTGTTGTGGGCTGAAATCTGTTTCCTTTGGGTGTGCCTTGTGAAACAGACAATTACTAGGGACCTCCCTCTGTGCTCAAAGCCAGACAGCTGATATATATCCCACATATTTTACTGTAATAGAACAACTTAGTCTTCTCTTTGATTTCTCTCAGATATAGGTTGTGCTCGTTGTTTAACCTCTAGATAAACAGCAACTTTCTTAGTTCGTTTCAAACAGCCTAAATTTCATAAGACTGGGAATTTGGGTATTGCTTTGTTTTATTTGTTGTTATTAAACACTGTTATTACAAGACATTCCTAAGGGATTCCTCAGGCAGGTTTTGAACAGTATATTGCTCCTTGGGACATCAAAGCAATCACAGTGGAAGTTTACTGAAACATTTAACAGTTATTATTAATATATTTGACAGCTAACTACCGGCAGTAGGGAATCAATGATTTTCAAGACCTTTTTAAATGAAATCAGTGTTTTGTCTTTCCTGTAAAGTAAGGGTGGGGACTCTCTTTCCATTGGAATTAAGGATTATAAAACTATTCAGTTTTCACTACGTTAGTCTTAAAAGACCTATAAGTTATTAATGCAGCTAGATTGTGTGATCTAGCAAAAATAAATTGTAGAAGTTTCTAAATAATAAAATAACTTCCATTACGTCCTTGTGCTATAAGAAGTTCTTTCCTTTACCTATGTCTTGGCATAACCTCCAACGATAGATGTCGTCTCTCATATACAATTGAATTTACATTTAGAAACAGACATAAAAAAAGAGTATAATCTAGATTCATCAAAAGACTTGACTGTAAGTTTTTCACGGTATCCTAGGGTACACATACCTCTGTACTGTCTTGGGTCAAGTTATTTGGCATTCTATTGTTTCTTTTGTCTTATGGAAGAAACTGCATTTTGGGCAGCAACAAAGTTCTTATGTGCCATTTAGCTTTTTCTGGCTTTATAGAAATAGAAGGAGTTAATATGAATTTCTTTAAAAGCAAAGAACCTCAGTGCTCATAATAAAATAATTATACATTATTGACAATAAATTATGTTTTTAGAAACACTGTGAACTGTGTAAGCAATACATACGTTGTTGACTTAAACTCCAGATTATGTGTTATTTATGTGTTACCATGATTCCTCTTTTCTTCTGATAGGAAGCTGCCACTAAAGGAGGAAAATGGGAAAGAAGCTTTAAATCCAGAAACCATAGAAATCAAAGTTTCTAATGACATCATCCAGTCAAAAGAAGATGATAGCAAAGCATAATAAGATAAACTACAGCTGTCTGGATAATGCATTTGGATTGAAGTCACCCCGTGACCAAAACTTTACAGCTGACCATAATTTCTCGGGAAACTTAAGCTTGGAATAGTTAGTACATGTGTACATATGATGAAACAATTTCTGTCTACAGTTCCTTTCTATTTTTTTGTTAATGGTTTTAGTATGTAGTTTTGCTGACACCAAGTCCCATGATATAAATTTGAAAAATCTGCAGAATAAGAACTGTAATTTATTATATGACAAAGTATGTCTATTTAGAAGAATAGTTACAAAGCACCCCTAACCACAAAGAACACATCAGGTCTCTCCAGATCTTACAGTGCAAGCTACATACATAAAGTGCCATATACTACTGTATTTGTCTCCATTTATAATAAAACAAAAGTTTAGGTTGCCTTTAAAAAAAAAGAAAACCAGTCTCAGTATCATGTTTAAGACCTAGCACTGGCAGACACTCAGTAGTCATTCCAGCTGTGCTTATCACTTGAAGCAAACAAAAAAAAGACACTCTTCAACATAGAGCCAGCTCCACCTGCAGTTTCACCTGGGTTCTTTGGTAAAATAAAAAGTTGAATACCACAATGTACAGATTTAAATAAAATTAGCTAAATATTTTGTAGCAGTATGTTGGCCTCATCCTAACTACATAAGTGGGACTCTGAAAGGCTCCAGGATTTTCAGTGCTTCAGGTTTTCTGTACTAAAGTTTTGGAGGTCGCATATGAACTAAGATGCAGCAAAGGTGTGAAAAGAAAACTCTTTTTTGATCATAATCTTGGCTTCAAGTGAAACCTTACAATAAACACAAACTCAAATTGTTGGTCCCAACATAATTATATATATACAGTATTTGTTCTTCTTTTAGTTCTAACCATTTAGTCAAGGGATAGAACTGCATTTTGGTGTAGTAGATACATTTTCTCCCCAAATCAGTATATGAAATATTAAAAGTTGGCCTTATTAAAGTAGCACCTGTTCCTTTATGATTTCATACCCTTTGTCTTAACAAAAAAACCCTAAGAACAGATGGAAAGGAGGACTTTGGCTAAACAGTTAGGAACAGTTTTAACTTATTAATTAATAGCATCTTGTATAAATACATTTTTTCTTGTCAAGCATTCCTTAAGATAATCTTTTTTATTATTCTAGTTAACATGCACCACTCTGAAATTTGACTGATTTATCTGATGCAAAATTCATTCGTATTTATTATCATTGCTTTAATGGTGCCACTAGTTAGAGCAATATGTTTTGTTTCCTTTCCAGCAAAGTGTATCCACACTTACCAAACTCTTCAAAGTCTTGCTTTGGAAGAAGTAGATAAACCATATAGAAAACTAGATTGAAAAATTCTACTTATCAGGAGTAAATTGTAGAGTACCTTGTACATTTTCCACATCTACATCATACCTGAGGTTTAAGTGTACCTTTACTGAGCAAATTACACCCTCTCCATGCTATATCTAAATTTTGCTCGTATTTGAAGTGCTTACACTTTCCAATTTCCCACAGTATGTCATCAACCCTTAGCTGATATTTTGTAGTCATGGCAAAGTGGTTGACTTTTGTGCAGTAAAGCTGAAAGTGAAATGTAAAAGAGTGTCCTTAAATTTGAGGAAAATGGGTTAACCTTGTTCACCCAAGCTTTAGTGCATTTGAAAGAGCTGAGGAGGATATATTTAATTCATAGATCTTTCTTATTTTTCAAAACCAAGTCATTTTATGGTTTTTTTTACAACTTTTCCTCACTTTGGGAAATACCTACAATGAACCAAGTAGTTGAGGACAGAGGCATACCACTGGTGTGGCTAGGATAAGAGGCCAAGTTCCCACAAAACCAGTACCAAAGTGAAAAGAATGGGTAAGAGGAGATAGCAATGTGGGATGAAAGTCATGAAAGAGAATAATTTAAAACTGCTGCAAAGAAGTTTCTTTAAATGCTAAGGCACTACTTCTGGGTGAAGGAAAGATGAAGGCATTCCTTTATGACCTCTCACTGTTGCTCCACATACTGAGCAGACAGTACTACCAAATAGCTGCTTGTCTATTAAATTTCTGTCCTGTTTCTTTCTGAGTAAGTACACAGTGAGCAGGACTGTCCCCTATCCTATAATTAAGAGAACCAGATGTCTCATTTATATATATGAATATATATTCTTTCTACAAAGTATGTATTTGCAGCTGGGCTTTCTCCCTCTATCGAAATGCAAGGAAGGGACCTGGAAAATTCCAGCAGTTGAGAATAATGTGGTTGCTGTGGCTTGAACATCTGCAACCCACATCATCTTATGCAGTAGTTTTACCAGGATGAGGATGAAGGTAGGAAACATCCTTTCCTCTGCTACCTGCCATCACAAGGTTAGGTGGTGCCATGCATATTCACATAAGTCAAGCTTCTCTAGGCAAATGGTGCTTTTTCTGAAACCAGCATGATCATTTGCACAACAAGGTTCCTATCCAATGTGGGCAGAGCTAACAGTGTCTTGGCTCATCTGTAGATGCATTTCAAATTTTAGTACTTCTTATTGAGACTTACACAAAAAACCTTCATGGCCTAACAGCGATATACTGGGGGGTTTGGGTTTGTTTTTTTCTTTTTTTTTTTTTTCCCCTAATATGGCCTCTAATTACAATGTGAAGCAATTAGAGAATTTAAGAGGTCATGTCAGCACATTTATTATTAATACGCCTGTGCTACTCTTTACAAGTAAAATATACTGTAAAATTATTTAAATATTGGAAGCAAAAGCATTTCCCACTATATTGGATTACAAATCAAAAGCTATTTCTAGGAGCATTTATTTTCTTCCTGCTGTTAAGTCTCTTGCCAGTTGGGCTATGTGAGGGCTGAGAATTAAACAGTTCTAAATTACTGATGGACTGTTCCAAGCATACCTTTTGGTCTGTGGATTAATAGGTTCTCTCTTGTGCTTTGACTCTATGCTGTGCAGGAAAAAGCCAAACTATAACCACGAAAGAATGCTTAAAAACACTGGTATTTGCAAATATTTCCAAATGAGGGACAGCGCATAGTAATTTGTAAGATATGTGTAGAACTGGAATAACTTCATTTCTTTATTTTCTTTTCCTATTCTAGACTAAAAAGAAAAAAAAACAGGTATCTGTATAAATGTCACTTTTACTGTCTAAAAGTAATTTTAAGTGTTAGTATGAAATGTCAGAAGAGTTGACAAAATATAACTATTTGTAAAAGTAATCTGAATTGTTACACTAACATACTCCAGGGATGAGGATGGGAGGGAGCCATTGAAATTATTAATGATGCGGAATGTGGCAGTGACAATCTCTCTTCAACAAAAAATAAGGAGTAAAACTAAGTAAAATGACTTAGAGCTTCTTGTTATTATTTCTGTAGTAGACCTGCATTCTGATTTACCACAACAGTAACAAAAGTTTTAATTAATGTTTTACAATTTAGTATACAAATGTACTCTGGAGAGTTTTTTTCTGGATTTGTTTGTTTATTTGGTTTTTTTGACTTCTAAGATTTTTTTGTGGTTGCAGAAATATTTACTATTCTGGTGATGCTAATGCCTAATGTGACAAAGATTAATTTATTTAGGCCTCAGTCTTGCAAGAAATTTTGTGTGGCTGAAACCACCCCTCATATGGCACCCCTCTGACATCAGTGGGGTCGATGTGAGCCGGAGGATGGATGTACCTTCCTAGGAGAGCTTGCAGGATTGGGCCTACTTTCTATCTCTTCATAGATATATACAATGTAGTTACACAGTGACAGTCATCTACAAAGGCTGTTTGACAACAGTCCCTGGTATAGTAAATTCCACCTGCTGTCTTCAGCCTCTGTATTGATGTTCATCCAAATAAGTGGCTTTCTTTTTATGATGGTTATGTACTTTGATTATTTATTTAAGTGCCAATCATCAAACTGTAGTATAATAATCATGCCATTTTTCTGTTTCCTAGACCGGATAATGGAAATGTATTTGTGCCTTTTGATAGCATGCCACTCTGCTTTATTAAAGAAAAATCTTCAATAATTTGTCTACAAAGCCTGTTTAAAGTATTTGAAAGCTTTACCATGACATACTTTTCTGCTCAAATATGCTCAAATACTCATCTAAGGTAAACTGGAGATAGTATTCTCAAGTCACGTAAATATTTTAAACACAAAATTTGCAAAAATCTATTGAGATCACAATTGTAGTGAGGGTATAGTGGTTGTATTAGTGCTGAAAAGATTCAAATAGATGGAGCACATGGGAGGTGTGAGGTGTGTACGGGTGTTTTGACCAATTTATCAAGTTGAAGAGTCAGATAGAAAGTCTCCTTATTTCTGTTTAGGTACTTAGACCTAGAACATTAAAATCTGTTCTCAAATCTGAAAGATAATGTGGAACATCTTCCCACCATTTTACCTCTGGAGTAAAACTGCAGTGAATACTTGTTTTGCAGTCATTTGTGGCCTCACCATCTCTGTGTAAGCTGTCATAGGAAGTAATAACTTTGTAGAGTAATTGTTGTGTCTGTTGGGTGACATTCACTTCTGATTAAAGGGCCTCCAAAAAGTCCATTTACTGAAAAAGCTCAAGACCCCTATTACAAACTGAACTATGCTGAGAGCACTGCAAGAAGTGCCACAGTGGAATCCAGGTCTCACTGGGCTTTAAGACACAACCTGACTTCAGAAGGGCCTGACTTTCATCCATCCATCTCAGCAAGGCTTTGAATGTCCTCTGCCGATCGAGTTGCTTTTGTGAATTGGACTTCTAGGTGTAAGTGGAACTTAAATGTCCTGCCAGGCTCCTGCTAACATTTTGCACAGAGGAGGTTTTCCTGTCAGGAGTTTGTACTGATCAGGAAACGTTGATAAAAATATCTGATCACAGTTTTATCCCATACATTACTATATGCCCAGAAATAAAAGAAATAATAGAACATCCCTCTAAATAATTCATTGTGATTGCGATACTTCTTTAGGTGAAGATGAAAACATTCTAA